CTTTTGAACCTGGGGAAACCCTGGCCGGCTGTGAACCTGGTTTTTAACCCTTATTACACTTGGAAAACCCGGATTTAACCCGGTCTCTGTGAACCTGGGTGAACCCCTATACTGTAAAACCCGGGGTGAACCATGGTCTCTTTAACCTGGATGAACCATGATCACTGTTTAACCTGGGTAACCATGGTCCCTGTGAAAACCCGGGTGAACCCCTGGTCTCTGTGAACCTGGGATGAAACCCTGATTTAATGTGAAACCCGGATTAACCATGGTTTTTCTGTTTAACCCGGATTTAACCAAACCTGTGAACCCCGGTTGGGCCCAAAGGTCTCTTTTGAACCTGGGGTGAACCCTGGTCCTGAGAACCTGGAGAAACCCCTGATCAAAGTTTAAACCCATTTTAAAACCCTGGTTTTGGGGAACCTGGATGAACCATGAACCCTTGGGGAACCCGGATGAACCATGGGGGCCCGTGAACCCGGATGAACCATGATCACTGGTTTAAAACCCATGAAACCCTGACACTGTGAAACCCGGGGAACCCTGAACCCGTGAACCGGATGAACCTTTACCTGTGAACCCGGATGAACCAGGTCCTGTGAACCCGGATGAACCCAAAACACTGTGAACCTTTTGAAAACCCTTTGGGCCCATCCTTCCCCCCCCGTGAACCGGGTTTAAACCCCTGATCACTGTGAAACCCGGATTTAAAAACCCTTGGTCTTGTAACCTGGGTGAACCATGGTTCCCGTGAACCTGGAAGAAAACCAAAGATCACGGAACCTGGGGTGAACCCCGATCACTGTGAACCTGGGTGAAAACCCTGTCCTTTTGAACCCCGGATTGAACCATGGTCTCTGTGAACCTGGATGAAACCCTGTCCTGTGAACCTTTGGGTGAACCCTGAAACACTGTGAACCTGGGATGAACCCTGGTCACTGTGAACCGGGTGAACCTGACCCCGTGAACTGGATTTAACCATGGTCTTGTGAACCTTTGGGTGAACCATGTTTACTGTAAAAACCTGGATGGAACCCTAAAACCTGTGAACCTTGGAATTTAAAACCAATTTATCCCTGTGAAACCCGGGTGAACCTTTTTCCCCTTTTGAACCTGGATTAAACCCTGTCTCCCGTGAACCCGGATGAACCATGATCCCCCGTGAAAACCCAAAGAACCATGATACTGTGAACCTGGATGAACCATGATTTCCCGTGAACCGGATGAACCCCTGATCACTGTGAATTTCCCGGGTGAAAAATTGGTCACTGTGAACCTGGATTTAACCATGGTCACGTGAAACCCGGAGAACCATTTATCACTGTGAACCCGGATGAACCCTTCCTTTAACCTGGATGAACCATTTTCACTGTGAACCTTTGGGTGAACCAAAGTCCTGTGAAACCCCGGTGAACCATGTCCTTTTAACCTGGATGAACCATGATCACGGGGAACCGGGGGTGGGAAACCCCGATCACTGTGAACCTGGAAAGAACCATGGTCCGTGAACCTGGATGGGAAACCCTGGTTTTCCCGTAACCTGGGTGGGAAACCTGGTCCTGTGAAACCCGGATGAACCATGGTCCTGTGGGGCCCCGGAATTTAAAACCTTTTCCTGTGAAACCTTTTGGTGAAAACCCTGGGGGGTTTTGAACCTGGAGAACCCCTGTCCTTGAAACCCGGATAACCCTTTTCTCTGGGGAACCCGGATTTTAACCTTGGAAGAAAGGAAAGGGTTTTTGGGGGTTGGTTTAAACCTTTCTTCCCCCCTTTTCCTTCTTTTTCCTTTTGCCTTAATCTCTTTCTTTTCCCTTTCCCTCTCATTCCTCCCCCCTTCCTTCAAATTTCCCCCTTTTTTTTCCCCCTTGCCTTTCCCTTTAACCCCCTTCCATTTTCTCTTTTAACCCCCCCTTTCCTTTCCCCCCGGTTTTTTCCTTCTCTTTTAGACCCTTTATAACCATTTTTTCCCCCTTTAAATTATCCCTTCTCTTTTTCCCCCATAACCTCCCCCTTTTCCTATAAAAACCCCGTACCTAGAACCATACCCTTAAAAATAACCCCCCCAACCTTTAAACCTTAAAATAATTTTTCCCCTTCCTTATTCCTTTCTTTAACCCCATTTCCCATTCTCCCTTTCCCATTTAAACCCCCCTTTTTTGTTTCCCCCCTTTTAACCTCCCTTCCTTCAAATTTTCCCCCTTCCTTTATAAACCCCCCTTTTCCTTCCTTTCCCCCCTTTTTTAACCTTATCCTTTTCCTTTCATCCTTTATTCCTTTCCTTAACTCCCTTTCATTTCCCTTTTATTTGGGGGGGCCCATTTAAAAAAAATCCCCTTTTTTCCCTTTCCCCCATTTTTTCCTTTCCCCCTTCCTTATTTCCCCCCATTTTCCCTTAACCCCCCTTCCTTCATTTCCCCTTTTATTTCCTCTTTCTCTTAACCCCCAAACCCAAGTCCCTTCCCCCATTTCCCCCTTTTTTTCTCCCCCTTCCCCTTCATTTCCTTTTTTTAACCTTGAAACCCTTTCTCCCTTCCCATTTCCTTTCCCTTTTTTCTTCCATTTCCTCCCCCTTCCCCATTTCCCATTCCATTTCTCCCCCTTCCTTCTTCTTCTCTAAAATCCCTTCTCTTAACCTTTTAAACCCCTTTCCCCCTTAACCCTTATAACCCCTCCCTTTTTCCACCCCCCCCCCATTTTCCCTTAACCCCCCCATGAACCATTCTCTGTCCCATTCCTTTCCCTTTTTGAAACCCCCGGTTTCCAATTTTCCCCCCAGAAAACCCCGGATTTTTCCCTTATTCCCCCTTTTCCAACCCCCCCCTTCCCCCCCCTTTCCCCCCTCCGGTCACTTTAATCTCGGAACCTTGGAAAGAAAATTCTCTGTGAATGGAAAAAAACCAAGGCTTTAATATTAAAATTATTTAACCGTAATTCCCATAATCAGGGGCCCGGGATAACCAAGGGGTTGGTAACCCGGGGAAAAAAACCTTTTTCCCCGTGACCCCCTGGAGCCCGGTCCCCCGTAACCTGGGTGAACCCCCAAAATCAACCCTTTAACCCGGTAAAAAGGGTTTTTGAAACCTTTATTTTTTAAATTTTTTTTTCGGGGAACCTTAATTTTTAACCCTTTTTTTTCCCCCTTTAACCTTTATTTTTTTTAAAGACCCCTGTTAACCTTTTTTTTTTTGTTCCCCTGTTAACCTTTAAATTTTTTTACTTTTTTTAATCCGGTTAGAACCCCAATTTTTATCATTTGAACCCCAAACAGGTTTTGGAAACCCCATTTTTAACCCTTTTTCCCCTTTTTTTTTTTTTGGGTTTTTTGGTAAATTTTGGAACCGGGTAACCAAAAAAGGGAAAACCCCCTTTTTTGGGGGAAAAAATTTTTAAAAAAATTTTTTTGGGGGAAAAGGCCCTTTTGGGGGCCAATTTAAAAATTTTAAAATGGGGGCCTTTTAAATTTTTTTAAAAAAAATTTTGGGATTTTTCCCCCTTTAACCCTTTTTCCCTTTTTAAAAACCTTTTAAAAAAATTTTTTTTTTTTTCCCCCCCAACCCCCAAAAAAAAGGGGGGGGGAAAAAAAATTCCTGGGGGCCCCCCCGGGGGGGGGGTTGGGGCCCTGGGGGGTTTTTTTTTAAAAAAATTTTTAAAAATTTTTTGGGGGGGGGGGGCCCCCCCCCCCCCTTTTTAAAAAATGGGGTTTTTGGAAAAAAAAAGGGGGGGGGCCCCCCCCCAAAATTTTTAAAACCCGGGGGAAAATTTTTTTGGGGGAAAACCCTTAATTTTAAAAATTTTTTTTAAAAAAAAAACCCCCCCCCCCCAAAAAAAAATTTTTTTTTAAAAATTTTTTTTAAAAAATTTTGGGGGGGCCCGGGGGGGGAAAAAAAAATTTTTAAAAAAAAAACCCGGGAAAAATTTCCCAAAGGTTTGGGGGGGGGAAAAAGGGGCCCTTTTTTTTGGGGGAAAAAATTTTTTTCCTTTAACCCCCTTTTTCCCGGGGCCTTTATTGGGCCCTTTTAAAAAAAGGGGGGGAAAAAAATTTTTTTAAACCCCCCCGGGGGGTTTTTTAAAAACCCCCAAAATGGTTTTTTTTGGCCTTGGGGAAAGGGGGGGGCCCCTTTTTTTTCCCCCCCCAAAAATTCCCCTTTTTTAAAAATTTTTTTTGGGAAAATTTTTTTGGGGGGGCCCGGGGTTTTTTTTTTAAAAAAATTTTTTTTAAAAAAAATTTTTTTAAAAAAAAAAAGGGGGGGGGGGGGAAAAATTTTTTTTTAAAAAAAAAAATTTTTTTTTTTCCCGGTTAAAAAAATTTTTTTCCCCCCCAAAACCTGGGGGGGGCCCTTTGGGGAAAAAAAATTTTTTGGGGAAAAAAGGTTTTCCCCCCGGGAAAAAAAAAAAAATTTTTTTTGGGGGGCCGGTTTTTTGGGGAAAAAAAAAACCCGGGGGGGGGGGTTTTTTTGGGGGGGGAAAAAAAATTTTTTTGGGGGAACCCTTTTTTGGGAAAAAAATTCCCCTTTTTTTAAAAAAAATTTTTTTTTTTAAAAAAAAACCTTTGGAAAAAAATTTTTTTTTTTTTGGGGGCCCTTTTTTGGGGAAAAAAAAAAATTTTTTTTTTTGGGGGGAAAAAATTTTTTTTCCCCAAAAAATTTTTTTTTCCCAAAAGGGTAAAAGGGGGGCCCCCCGGGGGGAAAAAAAGGGGGGGAAAAACCCGGGAAATTTTTTGGAAAACCCCTTTTTTAAAAAGGGAAAAATTTTTTTAAAAAAAAACCCCCCAAAAATTTTTTTTTTTTAAAAAAAAAAAAAAGGGGGTTCCTGGTTTTTTTAAAAAATTTTGGCCCGGGGAAAAATTTTTTTTTTGGTTTTTTGGGGTTTTGGGGAAAATTTTTTTTGGGGGGGGGCCCCGGAAAAAAGGGGGGTTTTTTAAAAAAAAAAATTTTTTTTAAAAAAGGGCCCTTTTTAAAAAAGGTTTTGGGGGCCCGGGGGTTTTTTGGGAAAAAAGGGGGGAAAAAATTTTTTTTTTAAAAAAAACCGGGGAAAAAAGGGTAACCTTTTCCCCGGGGGGTTTTTTTTTTAAAAAAAAATTTAAAAAAAAATTTTTTTTTTTTGGGGGGGGCCCCCCCTTTTTTTAAAAAAACCCCCGGAAACCCCCAAAAAAAAAGGTTGGTAACCTGGTTTTCCCCCCCCCAAAACCCCAAAAAAAAAACAGGCCCCGGGGGAAAAAAATTTGGGTTTTAAAGGGTTTTTTCCCGTTTGGGGGAAAAAAAAACCCCCGGGAAAAGGGGGTTTTTTTTTGGGGGGGTTTAAAAAAAAACCCCGGGCCTTTTTTTGGAAAGGGGGAAAATTTTTAAAAAAAAAAAATTTTAAAAAGGGTGTTTTTGGGGGGCCCCGGGGCCGGGGTTTTTTTTTTTAAAAAAAAAAAAAAGGGGCCCCCAAAAAACCCCCGGGGGAAAAATTTTTTTGGGGGGGGCCAATTTTTTTTTTTAAAAAAAATTTTTAAAATTTTTGGGGGTTTTTTTTGGGAAGGGGAAAAATTTTTCCGGTTTTTTGGGGAAAAAAAACCCCCCCTTTTTTAAAACCCCAAAAAAATTTTCCCCTTTGATACTTTCATAAAAATAAAACCAAAATTTATAAAGTCTGAAGACACTTCTTTAGAGTGGTTACTGTACTTATAATATAATAAAATATAAAATAATATAATCTAATATTTGCAGAGGTCATAGGTTTACAAGGTTCAGTAAAAAAATCATTGCCTTGTAATGATGATATAGTCTAACTCTTGTAAAGAGTGTAAAAGATGTACAAGGTGCAGTTGAAGGTGTAACATCTGAGTTTCCAGGACGACACTGTACATATACGACACTCTCTATCTGGAAAAAAAGGAACTGGGTAAAAACGTGTGATAGGTGGTGAATCTTTGCTATTCCCACAGTATAACTCTCCCTCCTCCCTCCCTCCTTGCTCAGAGATCACACACACACATCCTTCTACGGTTTTGGCACGCCAGGAAATCAAACACAAGCGAGCTAATAACCCGCTGCTGGTAATCTGCATGGTTTCCTCGTGTATCTGCAACCTTCTCGCTTTCAACTATGCCTTCGCTCAATGGATGTGTTACCGAAAATGCCGAGGTTTATGTGAGTGAAATTACCGGGTTGTGTTGTGTTCATGTTGTGAGCTAGCAGCCTTCCAGCCCAAGCGGTAGGTGCAAGAAGCGGGCTAAATGCAACAAGGCTAGTGCAAGGGAGCCGGGTTAGATGAAAGGCTAGAGCAAGAAAGCCAGGGCTGGGCTTGGAGAATAGGGTGGGGACGGAGGTGCGGTACTAAGAAGGAGCTACCTTGAGCTGAGGACGGGACTAGGCTAGGTAGGTCGGAGCTGGAGACTAGGAGGTCGGCTGGAGAGGTCTGAACATGAGGCTAAGATGAACGATGCGTCAAAGCAGGAGGTGGACCGGTACGAGGACCGGTGCGGTAACCGGACCAGTAATAACAGGTATCATGGGCCGGCCCAAGATGATGGCTAAGGGTTGTATCTTCGTGACACTTGATCCCTCACAACAACCATAACCTGACGCCGGCGGGAAAAAACACAGGAGAGAAGAGGAAACGAGGAAAATGAATAGGAGCAAAGTATAGTTGGGAAAAGGGGGGTTAAAGGTAATAAAGGAGAGGAAGAGAGAAGAAAGATACAAAAAAAAAAAACGGAGAAGATTCAAGAAAATATGACGAGGGAGATGAAAGATCGATGTTTCGCCCAAGTATAGTTTTTACCGTCCAGTATTAGGTGATGGAGGTGAAGAAAGAGTCCAATAAAGCGTGATGGAGGTGGAGAAGGAGTCCAATAAAGCGTGATGGAGGTGGAGAAGGAGTCCAATAAAGCGTGATGGAGGTGGAGAAGGAGTCCAATAAAGCGTGATGGAGGTGGAGAAGGAGCCTCAACAGTGTGGATGAGATGATGAACGTGTGATGAGGAGAGAGAGAGAGAATACAGGGAGAGAGAGAGGAGAAAAAGAACAGGAAGGAGGGAAGAAATAAAGGGGGGGTTTAAGAAGGTCGTCTGCAAGATGAACCACACCACTAACTCATAAGCCAAATTATTGTGTTATTTCAGGGTGATCAATGCAGGTCGGGTGCTAAAATGCAGTGCAGGACTGGCTGTGTTGAGCACCGTCATTATTATGTATGCCAGACGCACTTAATTATACCTCCCCCACCTGACTGACCGTCTTATAAATCACCCCAGAATTATTACTATATTTGTTCACAATTTCTGATCGCTCGGAACCAAACGTTGACGCAAGGTTATAATCGTTGCCCGCTTGGGTACATGCACGCACGACCCTACTTTTATATATATTATATATATATATATATATATTATATATAAATATATATATATATATATATATATATATATATATATATTATATATATATATATATATATATATATATATATATATAAATAAACATGCAAGTTTCAGGTACGTCTTGCTACTTCTACTTACACTTAGGTCACACTACACATACATGTACACAAGCATATATATACACACTCTGGTTTTCTTCTATTTTCTTTCTAGTTCTTGTTCTTGTTTATTTCCTCTTATCTCCATGGGGAAGTGGAACAGAATTCTTCCTCCGTAAGTCATGCGTGTCGTAAGAGGCGACTAAAATGCGGGAGCAAGGGGCTAGTAACCCTTCTCCTGTATATATTACTAAATGTAAAAGGAGAAACTTTTGTTTTTCTTTTTGGGCCACCCTGCCTCGGTGGGATGTGGCCGGTTTGTTGAAAGAAGAAATATATATATATATATATATATATATATATATATATATATATATATTATAATATATATATATATATGTGTGTGTGTGTATATATATTATATATGTGCGTGTGTGTGTGTGTGTGTATTTTATATATATGTGCGTGGTGTGTGTGTGTGTGTGTGTATAAACCTAAGCTAAGCTACTGTATGCTAACCTAACCTAACATACCTAACCTAACCTAACCTAACCTACAACCTAACCTACCTAACCTAACCTAACCTAACCTAACTAATAACCTAACTAACCTACCTAACCTAACCTAACCTAACCTAACCTAACCTAACCTAACCTAACCTAACCTAACCTAACCTAACCTAAATAACCTAACCTAACCTAACTCTGGGATATTTTCCACAGAACTCTGGGATATTTTCCACAGAACTCTGGGATGTTTACACAGAACTCTGGGATGTTTCCACAGAACTCTGGGATGTTTACACAGAACTCTGGGATGTTTCCACAGAACTCTGGGATGTTTACACAGAACTCTGGGATGTTTCCACAGAACTCTGGGATGTTTACACAGAACTCTGGGATGTTTACACAGAACTCTGGGATGTTTACACAGAACTCTGGGATGTTTCCACAGAACTCTGGGATGTTTACACAGAACTCTGGGATGTTTACACAGAACTCTGGATGTTTACACAGAACTCTGGGATGTTTACACAGAACTTGGGATGTTTACACAGAACTCTGGGATGTTTCCACAGACTCTGGGATGTTTCCACAGAACTCTGGGATGTTTACACAGAACTCTGGGATGTTTACACAGAACTCTGGGATGTTTACACAGAACTCTGGGATGTTTACACAGAACTCTGGGATATTAGAAAGTGAACATTATGAGTGAACAAATAACTTTCCCTGGACGCTGGAAGTTGTTTGCTGCCACAGTGATGGTCGGGAATTAATTAACGTCCGAACAGTTAACCTAAAGACCTTATTGACCCAGAGAGAGAGAGAGAGAGAGAGAGAGAGAGAGAGAGAGAGAGAGAGAGCAGAGAGAGAGAGAGAGGAGAGAGAGAGAGAGAGAGGAGGAGAGAGAGAGGGGACAGAGAGAGAGAGAGACAGAGAGAGAGAGAGGAGAGAGAGAGAGAGAGAGAGAGGAGACAGAGAGAGAGAGAGAGACAGAGAGAGAGAGAGAGAGAGAGAGAGAGAGAGGAGAGAGTACATGACGAAACTATTAGCTTAGGGGGCTATCTAGATTATGGGCTATCATTTAGTATCTAGGAGTGTTAGAGAGAGCTAGAAAGAGAGAGAGAGAGAGTTGTGCTTGAGACTGTACTAAAGCACTGTTTCGTTATGTCCACAGTCAGTGTCAATATTTTGAAGTCTGCCATTGCTTGCAAGCAAATATGACCAGCAAACATTGCGTAGAAAACTTCCAAGATAAATATGATAGGTAAATGTGGGGAGACAACCTCTGGGGTGGGGAAGTGGGGAGGATACCTATGTGATTTAATTTCGAACGTTGTAATGAGGCATTTGAGGTGAACCGGACGCGCTCAGTTGGCTTGTTAAAGAGAAGACCGGAGAGGGAGTACAGCACACACACACACGGAGCACAAACTGGAAGTTTTACTCAAAGAGAAGGATTAAGGAGGCAGCAAGATACTTGCACACACACACATACACACACAACACACACCACACACAAAACACACACACACACACACACACACACACACACACACACACACACACACACACATACACACACACATCACACACACACAACACACACACATACACACACACAACACACCACACACAACACATACACACACACACACACACACTCACACACACACACAAAACATACACACACACACACACATACACACACACACACACACATACACACACACACACACACACACACACACATACACAGTAGCGGCCAGTGAAAAGTCGGGGCCAGGAGCTGTGAATCGACCCCTACAACCACGACACTATACGTGACGGCAATAATGAACACTGAGTGTATATGAGAAAGACTTAACAAGGTCACAACATCAAGTCTTAAAGACTTAACAAGGTCACAACATCAAATCTTAAAGACTTAACAAGGTCACAACATCAAGTCTTAAAAACTTAACAAGGTCACAACATCAAGTCTTAAAGACTTAACAAGGTCACAACATCAAGTCTTAAAGACTTAACAAGGTCACAACATCAAGTCTTAAAGACTTAACAAGGTCACAACATCAAGTCTTAAAGACTTAACAAGGTCACAACATCGAGTCTTAAAGACTTAACAAGGTCACAACATCAAGTCTTAAAGACTTAA